CTGAATGGAATCTTGTCAAATGCTTTTTATACATCTATTGAGATGGTTATAGGATTTTTATCCTTCATTTTGTTAGAATACTGATTTCCGGATGAAAATCTACTCTGACCTATGGTTTTTATTTTTTGACATTTTATCTGGAAGTAATTTCAAGATTTTAGAAAAATTCCAAGAGTAGTACAATGGAAAATACTCTCCTATATCCTTTACCCATATTCACCAGTTGTTAACTTTACCCTATTTGCTTTATAATTCTCTCAATATTTCTCTATATTCATATATTCATGTATCTGTGTATATGTACTGTGTATGTGCATATGTGTGCATATGCATGTGTACGTGTGTATATACATATTTTTTCTAAAATATTTGGGAGTAAGCCTCATACATTATGTCCCTTTCCCCTAAATACATAAATGTCCTAAGAACAGGAAAAGTTAAGGATTTCATAAACTTTAATACAGTAATTTTCTTAAAAAGTTAAATATACACTATGTTCCAGCCATTCTACTCATAAGTATTTAGCCAAGATAGATATATTTACAAAGATATGTACACAAAGGTTCATAGCAGCCTTAATTAGGATTCCAAAACTGAAAATAAATGCTTATATCTAAGCTACCACCATATTCCAATTTTATCAATTGACCCAATGTCCGTTATAGCACATCTTCCCTTCAGTACAGGATGCAGCTCAGGATCCCTTATTGCATTTATTTATATCACTTTATTCTCTCTTAATCTGCAATAGTTATTCAACTTTTCTTTGTCTTTCATGACCCCGGTATTTTTAATAATAAAAGCACCTCCCCTAATTTTAATGGAATGATCCTCATGTTGGGTTTGTCTGGTGTTTCCTCATGATAAAGTCCAACACATACATTCCCAGTCACAGTATTATGTGATGCTGTGTCTGACACACGATGTCCTTCTGATCTTCACTGGTGATACCTATTCTGACCACTCAGTTAAGTTGTTGTCTGGTTTCTCCACTGGACAGTTACCATTTTTCCTTGCTTTTTAATTTTTTTTAATTCCAGTGTAATTAATGTACAGTGTTATATTAGTTTCAGGTAACCTAGAAGAAATGGCTAAATTCCTAGAAGCATACAACCTCCCAGAACTGAATCAGAAAGAAACAGAAAATCTGAACAGACTGATTACCAGCAAGGAAACTGAATCCCAACAAAAGTCTAGAACCAGATGTCTTCACAGGTGAATTCTATCAAACATTTAAAGAAGAGTTAATGCCTCTTCTCAAACTATTTCAAGAAACAGAAGAGGAAGAAAAGCTTTCCTTCAAACTTCATTCTATGAGCATTACCCTGATACCAAAACCAAATGACACTACAAAAAAGAACTACAGGTCAATATCCCTGATGAACATACCTATTTTCTACTTCTTATAAGCATGAACTCACTGAGTCCTAATTTTAATGGTTCATAATTCATTGTCCTTAATTATATGATCCTTGTCCAAGATGTGGCAATGGGAAACCATTTTTCCTTCAGTGTGATGATGTTTTCATTTGAAACACAGTTGAATTCATTTCTTTTTTTCCCCTCTATCTTTGACTTTTCTCCTGTCCTTATTTTCAAATATGTAAAATATGAGCGTGCTTCCCCAACTCAACTAAATTAAAAGATAAATTCATAAGTATCACACCCTCCCCTACTCCATCTATCCTCTTCTCCCACCCAACCCTTTTAGAAACCAACTTCATGGTTTACTGGTTCATCTGTCCCTTACTTGTTTTTGTAAAGATAAGGAGACATAGGTATGCTTTATTTCCTTTTCATTCTTACAGAGACCAGCATACTAAATACATTGTGCACTTTGATTTCCAGGAGATACCATTAAATGAGAAAAGCATTCAGTACCAATTTTTCAAGGAAACAAAATTTTGATTAATCGGATCTTTTTCTCTACCTCATCATTTCTGCATGTATCTTTATTATTTCCTTCCTTGTGCTTTTTTGGGTTGGCTTTGTGATTTTTTTTTTTCCCCAGCTTTTAGAGTTGGGAAGTGAATTTTTTATTCTCATTGGTTTGCCAAATATTTATCCTTTTATTCTTAGGCTTTTTGAAGAACTATATTTATGTATGTCTCATATAAAAGTACAGAGTTGGGGTTTGCTTTATGAGCCAATTTGAAAAGTTCTTTGGTGAGTTAAACCCATTCAAATTTAGTGACATGACTGATACTTGGTTTCAACACTGAAATTACTTTGTTTTAATTATACATACACTATTTACTGTGTTTAATTTTTCCTTTAAAAAAAATTCTTTGTGTTGGAAAAGTTTTTCCCATTATCTTGTATCTAACTTTTTATGCCTTATTCTTTATTTAACATCTTATTAGATCTGTCAGTTTTACATGGTATCCTTTGAATCCCACCTATGAGCTATACAGAAAGCCATGATCTTATTCTACTTTCCCTTTTTTTTTAAAGTTGCAAGTTTTTGCTTTGTCAACATATTACATTTATATACTATTCCCCTACCCACATCCCCAACCCTGTTTTTACAGTTAATTATATGAACTGTCCACCATCAGTCCTCTTGCCCAAATTTCATCTCTCGTTTGCACGAAGTTCTCTAATCCCCAGGAAGGATGCATGTGCACACTGCACCCTTAGTTCATGGACATTAATTTCTTACAGTCTTGATACTTAAGAGAATCTTAGCTGCACATAAAATTTGTGATTCACAATTTTTTGAGTTTAACCTGTTCCTCTGTTTCTGTACTTATGTTATTCTGAGATGTCTGATGCCAGTCTTACTTTCTTGCCCTACAGGTTATTTCATCATTTTGCCTCAAGACTCAAAGGAAGTTATCAAAATCTAGTAGTTTTACCCAGCTATGTGAAGAAGCTGAGGGTCCCAAGTCAATTTTCCATGGCACCTACTAGGTAGGCCCTTTTAACATATATATTAAGATACTGTTTTATTTCTGGTAATTTGTTATTTCTGTTTTTGATTTTTTTTTCCTTCAATCAGGAACTCCAATTATACATATGTTGGGCTTCATTGCCTCTTCATTTTAACCAGTTTTTTCTAACCTTTTTAACTACTTGACTCCATTTTCTGGATTACTTTCCTAATTTTCATCCATGTCCCTTATTAAATTTTCATTTGAATTTGTTTACTGTGGGGTGTTTTAGTCATAACTCCAGATATGAATTTGCCTTTTTCTTTCTTGAGTCTAAAATTCTACTTTCACTTTTTCCCTTTCTTGGCCACTTCCTTTTTTAAGTTTTTGAATTTTTTTTCTTAAGTAGGTTGTATGGCCAGCATGGAGCCCAAAGTGGGGCTTGAACTCATGACCCTGAGATCAAAACCTGAGCTGAGATCAAGAGTTGAATGCTTAACCAACTGAGCTGTGCAAGGTACCCCTCAGTTTTTGAATTTTTGACCTGACTCTAAATCTTCCAATTATTCAGCCTCATGACTTAGGAGTAGTCAAAGTTCATGCAATCAAGAATGATGTCAGAGCCTTGCAAGGAAAAGGTGACAAGCTCAAAGCAAAAAACATATTTAAGACCTCATTGGGCAATTAGATATTATTGCTGGTAAATATGAAGAAATGTGGCAAAACTTTTAATATAGATTATACTGAAGATTGATGACACAAGTGGTTGCAGATATAATAAATGCTATACAAGATGTCCATTCTTGGAGGTGATTATGCTCTGATGAATGCTCACAGTTGTGTCTAGGGTTCACCGATCTGGAATCCGTGTCTGGATCAGCTGATCTATAGTTTTCATCAAATTTGGAAAATATTTCTTTAAATATTTGTCAGGTCCCCTTTTGGGGAACTCCAAATTACATATATACAAAGCCACCTGTGACTGTACCACAGCTCAGTGATGTTCTGTTCACTGATTTTAAATTATATTTGTATTTCCTTTGTATAGTTACTATTGCAATGTCCTCCTATTTCTTCTGCAATATCTAACTTGTTAATCTTATCCAATGGATTTTCACCCCCAGACAATGTAGTTTTTATCTCTAGAAGTTCAGTTTCATTATACCTTTTTGAATAAAGGGAAGAGTTATTAAGTTGTAACTAACAGAACTGGTAGTTATACTAACTAGTTAACACTGTCATTTCTAGGGTAATTTCAATCAACTGATTTTTCTCATTATGAGTGTGTTTTCCTGCTGCTTTGCATGTCTGGTAACTTTTGACTGAATGCCAAACATTATGAACCTTTGTTGGGTTATGGATATTTTGGTATTCCTAGAAATCTTCTTGAGCTTTGTTCTTGGACGCAAAATAGTTACTTGGAAACAGTTTGTTCTTTGCGGGTATTTTAAGATCTCTTGGGCAGGACTGGAGCAGTACTTAATCCAGCCTTAGCTGTTTCCCCGCTATTAAAGCAAGACACTTCTATATACTTTACCCAATACCCTATGAATCCAAGGTTTCCCAATGTGGCTGGTAGGAACAGGTACTATACTCAGCCCTGTCTGTTGGCCACCATCCCCTCTCATCATTTTGGCTGGTTCTCTCCCCAGCCTCCAGTAGTTTCTTCATACACATGTGTACTGATCAATACTTGAAGGGAGGCCCCACAGCTCTCTGGTGTTCTCCTTCTATGCAGCTCTCCCTCTCCAGTGCTCTGTCCTGCAAATTAATGGCCTCAGTCACCCCAGGCTCTCAGCGTCATCTCTTCAACTCCAGGGTTGCCCAGGTTCCACCTAGGTTCCCCTCCCTCAGCAACTATTTATACTTCCTTAAGGCAGTTAGCTGGGGCTGTCGTAGAACTCACCTCCTATGTTTCATGTGTCTCAGGGGTCATTGTCCTTTTGACCCCTGAGACACATGAAACATAGGAGGTGAGTTCTATGACATTTCATATATTTCATATATATATATGAAATCTAGTCCCTGTTACTCCATCTTGGCTAGGAGCAAAAGTACCCATCATAGCTTCTGAATATGAATATATATAGAATTTAAAGCCATCCTAGGATGAGAAGGACTCCTTACCTTATTAATGTATCATCATCCACAATGACCAACCATGCTATTTTGTCATGGCTGTGATTCAGAAATTTTTCCAAAATGGCAAATGTCTTTCCACAATGACCTAGGAAAGGCAAGAAGAAAACTTACAGTGTGATATTTTAAAATGCAAATATAATTCATTTTAGGGAGAGCCTGAGTGGTGCAGTTGGTTAAGCATCCAACTCTTGGTTTCAGCTCAGGTCATGATCTCAGGATCATTAGATGGAGCCCCACATTGGGCTCAGTGCTCAACAGGGAGTCTGAGTTTCTCGCTCCCCCTCTGCCCCTCCCCACCCCCTGCACTCTCCCTTTAAGTAAATCTTTGTTTTAAAATGAATTATATTTGTGTTTTATTTAATTTTTTTTTAAGTTTTAAAAGCTTAAATCCTGATATGTACACATAGAAATTTTAAAAATTAGCCTTTTCTAATTTTCATAGACCTAGTGAAACAGTGGGAACTTCAGAGATCATGAAGTCTAAGCCATTTATTTCACACATGGGGAAATGGGAAACTCAGAGAGAGGAGGTCACTTGTTCTAGCTCTGCCTCAGATTAGCTTAGTATCTTTGCTCCAAAGTTGTAAGCCTCCTAGAAACTACAGAAGCTTGGCACCTTTCCTTAGGTATATTCTGAAGGAACTGTTAGAACCCCAAGCATTACAACTATAGGGAAACAATGGTACACACTACATTTTGGGTGTATTTTGGTCTGTTAGAAGAAACTGCCTCCCAAAATTTTAAAGAAAAACTTTATACATGTACATGTGTGTGTGTGTGTGTATATATATATATGGAATATGACTGTAAAGATAAAAATTAAAGATTTTAAAAGAGGAATTGATAAGTTGGTTGAAAAAAGGAAGAAGAAAAAAAAAAAAGTGGTCAGGCAGGAGACTAGAACAAAGCCATACATTAGATTTAGGATATATTTTGGTCTGTTAGAAGAAACTGTATCCCAAAATTTTAAAGAAAGAAAAACATATATATAAAACATAAAGTTAAATACAGTGAAGGGATAGAATATGACTGTAAAAGTGAAAATTAAAAGATTTTAAAAAAGGAATTGATAAAATATGGCTGTCCTCCAAAGCTGTATGGAAAGCTTTCAAGGAACAAAACTCCTGAGAGCAAACCTGAGCAGATTACTTAGCCCGGACCCGGCAAGGGCAGGGGAATTCCGCCTCCAGCAAAGACATTTAAGAATCACTGAAACAGGCCCCTCCCCCAGAAAATCAGCAAGAACAGCCAGCCAAGACCAAATTTACAGATCAATGAGAACGGCAGAACTCCAGCACTAGGGGAATACAGCACATAGAATTCATGGCTGTTTTCCCATGATTCATTAGTCTTTGAAAGTTAATCTTTTAAATTTTTTTTCTTTTTCTTTCTTTTAATTGTTCTTCTTTCCTTTTTCAACCAACATTTTATCAATTCCTTTACAGTCATATTCCATCCCTTCATCGTATTTACCCTTATTTTTGTGTGTGTGTGTATATACATGTGTATGTATATGTATAAAGTTTTTCTTTCTTAAAATTTTGGGAGGCAGTTTCTTCTAACAGACCAAACTACACCCAAAATCTACTGTGTAGCTCTTTCTATTCCACAGCCTGATATATATATATATTTTTCTTTTTCCCCCTGGTTTCGGGTCTCTTCTGATTTGTTTAGTGTATATTTTTCTGGGATCATTGTTACCCTTTTAGCATTTTGTTCTCTCATTCATCTATTCTTCTCGGGATAAAATGACAAAACGTAAAAACTCATCTCAAAAAAAAAAAAGAACAAGAGACAGTACCAACTGCCAGAGACCTAATCAATACGGACATCAGTAAGATGTCTGAACCAGAGTTCAGAATGACAATTACAAAGATACTAGCTGGGATTGAAAAAAGCATAGAAGATACTACAGAATCCCTTTCTGGAGTAATAAAAGAACTAAAATCTAACCAAGTCGAAATCAAAAAGGCTATTAATGAGGTGCAATCAAAAATGGAGGCTCTAACCGCTAGGATAAATGAGGCAGAAGAGAGAATCAGTCATATAGAAGACCAAATGATGGAGAATAAAGAAGCTGAGAAAAAGAGAGAACTACTGGATCATGAGGGCAGAATTCGAGAGAGAAGTGATACCGTAAGATGAAACAATATTAGAATACTTGGGATCCCAAAAGAAGAAGAAAGAGAGAGAGGGGCAGAAGGTCTATTGGAGTAAATTATAGCAGAGAACTTTCCTAATTTGGGGAAGGAAACAGGCATCACAATCCAGGAGACACAGATAAACCCCCTCAAAATGAATAAAAATAGGTCAATACCCTGACACCTAATAGTAAAATTACAAGTCTCAGAGACAACGAGAAAATCCTGAAAGCAGCTCGGGACAAGAGGTCTGTAACCTACAACAGTAGAAACATTAGACTGGCAGCAGACCTATCCACAGAGACCTGGCAGGCCAGAAAGGACTGGCATGATATATTCAGAGCACTAAATGAGAAAAATATGCAGGCAAGAATACTATATCTAGCTAGGCTGTCATTGAAAATAGAAGAAGAGATAAAAAGCTTCCAGGAACAACAAAAAGAATTTGGGAAAACCAAACCAGCCCTACAAGAAATCCTGAAAGGGGCCCTCTAAGCAAAGAGAGAGCCTAAAAGTAACACAGACCAGAAAGGAACACAGACAATACACAGTAACAGTCACCTTACAGGCAATACAATGGAACTAAATTCATATCTTTCAATAGTTACCCTGAATGTAAATGGGCTAAATGCCCCAATCAAAAGACACAGAGTAACAGACTGTATATAAAAACAAGACCCATCAATATGCTGTCTGCAAGAGACTCATTTTTAGACCCAAAGACACCTCCAGATTTAAAATGAGGGGGTGGAAAACCATTTACCATGCTAATGGACATCAAAAGAAAGCTGGGGTGGCAATCCTTGTATCAGACAAATTAGATTTTAAACCAAAGACTGTAATAAGAGATGAGGAAGGACACTATATCATTCTTAAAGGGTATATCCAGCAAGAAGATCTAACAATTTTAAATATCTATGCCCCTAACACGGAAGCAGCCAATTATATAAGCCAATTAATAATAAAATCAAAGAAACACAGTGATAATAATAGTAGGGGACTTTAACATCCCCCTCACTGAAATGGACAGATCATCTAAGCAAAAGATCAACAAGGAAATAAAGGCTTTAAATGACACACTGGACCAGATGGACTGCACAGATAGATATATCCAGAATATTCCATCCCAAAGCAACAGAACACACATTCTTCTCTAGTGCACATGGAACATTCTCCAGAATAGATCA